CCGCCGCGCCCCGCCCCCGCCCCGCGGCCGCCCTCCGTGCCCCGCCGCGGAGCGCAGCGCCCCGGCCTCCCCGTCCCGAGCGGCGGGCGAGCGCGGCGGGGCAGAGGGAAGGCCCGGCCTGAGCGGCTGGCCGGGAAGGCCCGAGGAAAGCCCGGGTTTAATGCGGGCGGGGGGCGGGGGGCGGGAGACCCTCGCCGCGCTGCGGCAGAGAGAAGTTCAGGGCGGCCTGGGGTGCCTTAGCTTGAGCCGAATTATAGGCCGAGCGTGAAGCGTGAAGCTATCCCTAGGTCCTAATGTGCCACAAACACGAAGGTATCCTAAAGAAGACGGTGCCTCTGAACATGTGCAAAGCGTCGAACACTCCCCCTCACGAACACACATCTGGGATCGGGGAAGGGGCCTCCACTTCCGGATCAAAGGGCAGGACCTTGGGCAGGAGCGGGGGCGCATGGGGTGTGTGTGCGAAGCATAAGAAGCGCGGGCATCGGGAGGGGGAGGCGCGGCGCCCCTGCTCAAATCCAATGGTGTTGGTAAAGTGCAGGCCGGAAGGTCATAAACCCTTAAAGGGGACCAAGGGCAGGGGGGGGGGGGCAGGCGAAGCAAGGCGAAGGGCTCCTCTGCGCACCGGCAGAAACTCGGGGGCGGCGGTGCCCCGCATCCAGCGGCTTGCGGGCTTCAGCCGAGCAGGCCGTCCCGCTGCTCTGGCGAAAGGCCCTGCGCTGACGCGTCTTTTATCCCCAGGTCTGCGGAGGCGGCTGGGAAAGGCGACGTGGAAATAAAATGCCATGAAATCAGACCGGGGCCTTAGCGAGGACTCAGTAGGCCGACTGCAAATGAAATGCACATTTACCCTTGGCGCAATGCGCGCCGGGCTGCGGATCCCGGATTAATTGATACTTAATGGAAGTCATGCCCATGAATATGCTTTCCATTATTTCGCCCTCGGCGGGCGTCATTAGCTAAGCCAGGCAAGCGGGCGGGCGGAAGCGGCGGAACGGCGGCCGAGGGAGCGGCACTGGCAGACCCTGAGCTTGGCCCCCGACCCGCGCCTTGCTCCCCCGTCCGCCCCCCAGCCCGCAGGATCGCGCCTGCCCGCCGCACTGCTGCCTGCGCTCCCTTGGCAGCGCCTTTCCGGGAGGAGGCGAAGCGCGCGTTGGCGCAAAGCGGCCTCGGCGCAGCGCGTCGGCCTCGGACGCGGCCACGGACGGGCCTGCCCACGATCGCAGCCCTGATGGCGACCCCGCGCTCAGGCCGCGCCGAGAGCGAGTCCGCCGCTCCGGCCACCCGGGCCGGCTCCGGCAGAGGCGACCCCGCCGGCTCCCGAAGCAGGGAAGTCGTCCACGTGGAAAGCAGGAATCCGGAGAGATTCCGGCGCGCGATTAAGTAGCAGAGGTTATCTTTCTTGGCAAAGGGGACCATTAACTTTTTTGTTTGTTTGTTTTTTGGAAGGGGACAATCTAATCTTCTGATTACATAAAACAAATTCCAGTCCGACCTGGCTCCAGGACAAAAAAAGATATGGGTAAATTATTGAACAAAGCCAAGTAGGAAAGTGTGTTAGGCAGCCCGATGCGAATCCAAGAGAATATTTGCGAGCGCACAATAACATCGGCCGCTTCATTCTTTCTCTGCTAGCCCGCATCGATTCCTTTCCTACTATTTATTTTTTAAAATACCGTCTCTCGCCCAAGGCATGCGGAGACTGGGCGATCCAGTTTAACTTCTCGGAGCATGAAATTTAGTTTGCACTTTCCAAAAGGGGAATGAAAGATTCGGGGATGGAAAGGGAAGATGCCACCATCCCTTGAGAAACTGAAATGTGCGGGAAGAGAGAACCTGAAATGTGATTTTAGGGTGGGGCGGAGGTAGATCAGGGACATGGCAAGGCTCCCCCGCGCTCCCCTTTCCACGGTTTAACTCAGGGCGAGAGAACCCCGAACCTCGCCGCTTGCATTGTTCGCGGAGCGCGGCCTCTGCGCCGCAAAACTGGCCCGCTGCAGCTCCACGCAGAATCTGCTCGTTTGTTTTTTAATCTCGAGCTCTCGTCCCGATTTTATCTTTCCCGTTTTTGATAGACTGACGAAACGGCATAGCAAGGATGTCCTGGGCCAAGCTCTATAGTCCAGATGACTGGGAAAGCGATTGAAGAACCAGCCTGGCACTTGCTTCAGAAATGGTCTCCGGGAATATAGGAAGCTCCGCCATCTTCAGGGCATGTGTTTTTCCGGGCTGATAAAGGCTGCAATCCCAGTCGCCTTTATTGGAGAGTAAGCCCTATTGAAAATTGGATTTACTGCTGAGTACACCGGTATAGGATTGCACCATAAATACATTAAACTTGGCTATTACAGCATGCCTGTCTTTATTTATTAATCATAGTTAGTAGCCGTCTTTGGAGATATATGTGTTTTATTTAGGTATAGAATTGAGAATTCCTTCCTGCGATGAAGCTCAGAGAGGACCCAGGAGCTGGGCACGGGGATGTCAAATGCAAGTTTAATGGTGATGCAAAAGAGGGTCTTTTTATCTCTCTTGAACCCCTTTTACAAAAAAGGAGAGACTTCCCACCCCCCAAATGCAATTTCCACACTGACCAAGAGGCCTTCACCTTGATTCTCTCCTTACCTTGGGTTAATCCAGAGTTATATTGAAGTTTATATTTTCTGAGTTTGAAAGTTGATCACAGGAACAGATGAAAAATATGCTAAATCAAGAGCAAATAGGTTCTGAAGGTAACAACAAAAATCCCAAACAAGCCCTTTCTAGTTCGTTTCCATCAGAACAACATAAATCATTGCTTTTATATAAAACCTTTCTATGTGCGTATCAGTTCAGATGGGGGCGGGGAGAGAGAGAGACAGAGCGGTTTTTTTCAATATTTCCTATTAGAATGTAAAATATAATAGAATAACAAGAACTCACCAGAAGACACCGATTTTTCTTTTACTTGTCTATGGAATAATTCAATTCAAGTGACATGGTGGATACTTAAAAGATGCTGACCACATACAATTCCCCAGTGAAATTAGTTAGATCATTGTCAAGAATGGTCATGTTAATTTATTTTTGGCTACAAACACCAAATCCATGAACTTAAAAAAATAAAAACAGCCACAACCTATACATATTTTAATATACACACAATCCTGGTCAGATACAGAAAATTATCAGAGAATGGAGCAACACCGCCCTCTAGTGGCAAAATGAAAGCTTGGTCGACTACCCAGGCTAATGCCACATGTTTATACTTTCTCTTCAATTACTGTGAAAGAAATGTATTGGCTTTTAATTTCCATGATAGATTCTCCCCTACACGCAAGTATGTTCTCTATTGGCTAGAGACTACTAAAGTCATGCAAAATAAAAATAAAAATCCAAGGAGCATGCAATTATTACAAAGAATTATCAATATTCTTCAGTGAAGAATCTTCATATTCACTAATAAGAAGGGGCGGTAGTAGGGGCTCAGCCCTACACCTTGAGTGACAAGGAAATCATTTCAATGAAAGCACGGTGTTGCCTTTTGTTAGCAAGAGGACAGCATTATTTAGCTCAAGACACCAGGTAAGGTGTCTTCTTTAAGCCTAACTCTGAAAGAGAATATTAGAATCGACCATAAAGTCCATTGCTGTCCTGATGGAGATTGGATGAAATCAAAACGTTTCAATCTAGGCTTCTGGGGAAGTATGTTCTGTTTCCTACTTCTTCATCATTCTGCCTTGAACTTGCCTGTTTCATTATTTCCCATACAGGTATCACCAGAGAGCTGGTCAATTTCGTTTACCACACTTACACTTGGATTTTTAATATAAAAAGTTACTGTTTTATTGAGACACTTAACATAGCCAAACAGACACGTAACAATCTGAAAACAAGTGCTACTTCATCTTTTCCCAAGGAGATGAAGCCATGTAGCTTGTGGCTTGGCTGCAGTGCCATGTTGAAATCAGTAAACATGGACTTGGGTCAGACCATGGCAAGTTTAGATTCTACTGTTTCATCCCAGCCAAAGGGCTGGAACCAAAGGTTCTCTCCTGCAGCAAAGTGCCCCCTTTTCAAGGTCTGCAACCCGACCCAGCCCCAGTCCTCCTGCATACAAATGTTTACAACCTCTGCGCCCCTCCAATAGGCCATCTTGCTTTTTTTAAAAAGCCCCCTAATCCACGTCCACCGGCAAACACAACCAAATTCATTTCATTTTTATCGTCTCCCTTCTCAGACCTTGCTGTCTAAAACTCGTGTATCTCCTCATTGGGTGATGTATTGACATTTATAGTCCAGGATTTTAAGGCCTGGTTTTGTCTGCATGGGTGTTTTATCCTAACAAACACAAACATCAAAATAAGATGGTTTCAAAGAAAAAAGCACCAGCACATATCGTAAACTCATTAGGTCCAGACGTCTAGCCTTCTCAATGGCTTTATTATACCTTGGCTCTTCCTGTTTTAAAAACGAATTATAGGTATAGGGTTGACAATGAATGGAGACGAAATGCAGCACCTTTTCCTCAGTCTTTATCACTATGTGTCTTTTGGCAGAGGGAGGAAAGGGGCCCTGGCCCAGCAAACATGGGCAGAGGCACCAGCCCGCTGGGTCCCTGCATCTGCGGCCACCGCATCTGTGTTAAATTTTCTTCTCCGTTCCGTAAGAGGCCGTATTTATTTCTAGATTCTTCATCCAAACAATTCTTAAATCAAAACAATTAGCTTCTTCGCCTCCATTGAATATTTCAGAATCCCGTACCCGCTCCCAGTATTTATATACTACTTGGTGCAGTTTGTGTGTGTGAGAGTCTACACTATATTACAACCCAGTCAAATGTTAACCCTTGAAAGTTCCATTCAAAGGGAATAGTTAAACCAGTGTTTGGATTTTCCATGCGGAAATCAATCGAAATCAAAATTAGCCAATGGGATTTCAGAGTTGTTCTGATTTTGCTTAGATAGGATTGTATGTGATAGACACATGCACACAGATTAAGCCGTTTTCATTAATGTTTGCTCAAAGGAGGGCTATTGTTAAATAGCTACTCACTAACACTTACGCGGAACTGATCGTGGCGAAGTGGCACCTATTTCAAATGCATTTTCACTTTTACGTTTTCGAATAGTCCATGAGTTTGAACGGGCACCATAGAGGTAATCATGTTAAATCAGCTTCAGTCTTCCTTGTGAACACTTTGGTTTGCCCCCCACACATGAGATCGCTAAATTATTGTTAAGAGTATCATTACATTCCATATAATTATAGATTATTATTAAGATGCCTATTTTTTACTGAGGGAGGAAACAACAGCTGTAAACTAGGAGTGCCCTCGGTGTGCAATTCCCAGCGAACCTCCTCATGTCCCTCTCAGAAGAGAAGGCCGTGGGCCACACGCATTGGGTCGCCACAGAGCCTTGCTTGCCAGTCAGGTTCAAATAGGAAAGATCTCGTGGGGGGGGTGGGAAACTGCATGATTTCAAGTACACCTGCCCATCTACGCTTGGCAGGGCTGATATAATACAGAGCTGACGGAACCCAAACCCTGTTTGTGTAAGATTGGAGGTGCTCTAGGAAAGGCAGCAGACAAGCTGGTAGGGTTGGGGAGTTCTTGCCCTGGCTCTGGATGGACCTCCTGCAATTTGTGTGGGTATTCTAGAGAAGACACTATTCGAAGCAATTCATTTCAGGAGAGTTTGGAAGAGAAATCCCCACAGTCTGTTCATAGCCACCTTGCAAAGAAAAGCACAGGTTTACACGCGCTGCAGACACAGGGTACCCAACTTCATTCCCACACACCCCTTTCCCCCTCTTCTTCCAGGTAGGGACTTTCATTCGAACAAGGCAGTCTTTATTATAAAACCTATGGCAATCACACGCACAAAAAGTCCTTAGGTAGCATTGCAGAGGGACGACAATATGGACTGACGCTGAGAAATGTTAAACCGCAGAAGGCTGGGCCTGTGAAAATTAATACTGCTTCAAGTTCCACTCCTAGGGCAGCGCGCTGAAGAAGGCAACCCAGATTTAAACATCCTCTCCCGCTGGCCTCATCCTGGCACATCTTCTTGCCAAACAAAAGCAAGGGGCTGGGGGATGTCCAGGAGCTGTTCGCCTTTGCCACGAAAGCCACCCCTCTTACCACGCAATATCTTTGTCTTAAACATCACCTTTGCCTCTGTCCCGGAAAAGTGGATTTATCTTTTCCCTGGAAATTCGTACTCTCTCGCTCAACCAGGTCTCTCGGCAGATGCATGTCAAACATCGAATATTTAGGTAAAGCCCCCGTCCCCAAATTAACTTGCACTCATAACATTATAAAACTAGGCAGAAGGCGAGGAGAAAGAAGCAACACAGTCTCCAGCAAGAGAAGGACTTCCCCAAAGACTTTCCTCTCCAAAATACCTGACAGCAGGACCACATTCACTGGAACCTAAAACAACAAAACCCACCAGATCAATGTAAAGTTCTGGGTCAATGCATCTGGGGTAAATAGTAATATTAACAATATAACAATAATTAATATACAGATATATTTTTGTGCGCCTGTATGAGTGTTTTAATAGAAATCCCGGTGCATTTCTGCAAACACAGACACATACACTAAGGCGCTAGTCCCCTTTATTGCCTTTTTCCTTGTTCATCTTTTTCATTTTCATTCTTCGGTTCTGGAACCATATTTTGACCTGTCTCTCTGTCAGGTTTAAAATCCTAGCCACTTCATAACGGCGATCTCGGGTGAGGTACATATTAAAGAGGAATTCCTTTTCCAGTTCCAGAGTCTGGAATTTTGTGTAAGGGCAACGCTTTTTCCTCGTGGAACGAGCATGAATCCAGTTTGCAGCGGGGTTATCTGGAAAAGCGGGAAAACATAAGAGAGGGGAGAAAGGAAGGGGGACGGTTGGGGTTTGGAGGGGGAAGAGGGGCAGACGTCGGGGGGCGGATAGAGGAGAGGGAGGAGAAAGGTCGTTAAATTAATTTAACGAAGGATGCCTGCTCTTTTCACGATCGAGGCGGAATTATCATAAAAGCCTGAATGGCCCAGTCTGTTTACTGTACACATGATGTCTTCTTGATGGTGGTAGGTGGGTTATGGGGAGCCCTTTTTATGGGTGCTTGTTGCTGCTTGAGCTCGGGTAGGCGTCTAGACGTTTTTATAGGTTAGTAAAACTATCAGTTTTGCACATTGGAGCCTTACGGGTTCGGGCAATAAATCAAAGCGGGCTGCAATTTCTTTTCTTTCGCTCTTTCTCTCGCCTTTTTTTATAACTTACTTGGGTCAAGTTGCTGCTGCTTCTCCTCCTTCAGATCGCGGCTCGGGCTGGGGCTGTGGCTGCAGGCAGAGGCTGGCTTGGCCGGGTCGCTGGTGCCGCCGCCGCCGCCGCCGGTGCCGGCGGAGGCGCCGGGAAGGGGGTGAGCCCCGTCGCTCGCCGCCGCCGCCGCCGCCGCCGCCGCCTTCTCGCGGGGCTCGGCCAGGAAGGAGCTGCACGTGTACTCGGGCCCGGCGACCCCCGGAGGCTCCCGGGACGAGGAGCCCTCGGTCCTCGCGGAGGGAGACGCGGCGGCGGCGGCGGCGGAGGGCGCGGCGGGGGCGGCGGGGGCCGGGGCGGCCGCGGCTCTGCTCTCGGGCTTGACGATCCCGTAGTGGCGCCCGCCGGAGGGGCCTGAGCCGCCGCCGGGCGCGAGGGGGGGCGCGGCGGCGGCGGCGGCGGCGAGGTTGGCGCCCCCGCTGCCGGGGCTGCCGGGGAAGGCGGCGAAGGGCTCGATCCAGGAGCGCACGTATCTGCCGCCGCCGCCGCCGCCCTCGCCCGGCCCCCCCAAGTGGGGCTGGGGCACGTACGGGTGGTAGAGGGCGGTCATGGGCGCCGCCGACGGCTGCGGGTGCACGGCGGACCACGAGGCGGGGAAGACGGAGGACTTGGGCGCGAAGCTGCAGGAGGCGAAATCCGCGCCCTCGGACACCACACCTGAGGGTGGCCGGGGGGACGGATGGTGCCCCCCCTGCAGGAACCGGCCGGCCCCGCCGCCGCCGCCGCCGCCGTACGCGTCCTCGCCGTCGTGGCCTATGAGCGAGTCCACGTAGTAGCTACTGAGGGCGCCGCTCGACGACATGTTGGGCAGGCCGCCTCCGGAGCAGGGCATGTGGGGAAGGCGGCCAGGGCTGCGCTGCCTGGCTGCGGAGCGGCGCCCTGCCCGGAGAAACCCCCGTAGTATTTTTGCAGGCTGCCGCCGCAGCCATTGGTCCCGCCGGCCACGTGACGCTATTTACCAATACTCCGAGTAAATCAATCCGCTCAGCTGCGCGCCCGG